ATATAACATTTAGACAACATGTTCTGGCCATTATACCAAGGATATTTGAAATGGTGAAGAAGACCACTGGTGTGAAAAGAGAATAGAGATTCTGCTCCAAAGACGCAAAGGGGGAGATTGTTGAATATTTTAAGTGTTGCATCTTGGATTATTTGTTTTGTAATCGGATTGGGTATATCCATCCGTAGTTATCTAGAATAGTTTCCTTTATCTAGATAAGTTGTTAGGGTTTTATTATAAATATATGCATGCATGTATGCGTATATAAGAGATTAGTTGTACAGTTGATTATTGTAACCCTAGTTTTACCTCTACAGATTGAAGTTCTTAATCGAGCTCTTCTGCGTTATTTTGCATTAATCATTCGACATCTTCATCGCAATACTTGTGTTCTTATTTACGTTCTTATTAATATTTTGCTTAGAATCATACAATCCTGAAAGAACTTTGTTCTAACACAGCTTTCCAAAAATCTCAATTAATAATTATCCACAAAATTTTCAAAACATTTATTCAAAATCCCATATCATCACTCCTTCTTGATGTAGGTGTACAATTATCTCGGTGCCTTCCTGCAGTCCTCAGAAGTACCTGAAACACATGACACATAACATGGTAAGTATAAACGCTTAGTGAGTTCCCCAAAATATCACATACAACTCATTATCCACTCGAGGCTGTAACTCAATAAGACCCTTTAATCAATGTGTCTCAGTGGGACCCTCTGGTCCCATAACTCAGGTTGGATCCTCTGATCCCTCTACTCAATACTCAAATAAACATAGAATACATATCATGAAGTAATTAATAGAATATCTCAATACACAAATAACATGATATGTTAAACAAAGAGTATGCATATAAGACCCTCCGGTCACACGTAGGCTACCACTCAAGGTAAGTATAGTGAGAAGACTCACCTCGCGACTAGTAGGAAATAGATACACTCTTGATAATCCAGAGTAGCCTTCACCTAATACATTAAACGAGCATCTCAATTAATAACACTCTTTTACCCTTTCCAAGTATAGCCCTCTTTGCTCATTCTCTAACCCTTGGGATGGGTAAAAGACCCTTTTACCCCTCCAAATTTCCCAAAAGTTCCTAACTAACCCACACACGAAGTCAACAGACAAGTTGGACCTGACTCGCCGAGTCCAATCTTATTTCTCACTGTTCTCAAAGGGATTCACTTAGCTCATCGAGCCGACCCCCAACTCGACGAGTTATCTCTGGGTCAATGGTATTGGGTCGAACCCGATCCGATTCGTCGAGTCATCTCATAGACTCGGCGAGTCATCTCCATTGCATCGCTCATATGGTCTCCTGAGGTCAGATCTGGAACTCTAACTCATAGGTCTAGCCTTCTAGCATCCAAAGGTCACGTAAAGATCTGATCTTGGGGTTCATGCATGGTAGATATTGCTCTATATACCATGATGACTCCATTAAAGCTTCATAGCTTCAAAGTTCCAAGGTTACTCAATCAAGGCTTCGTACTTTCTGGCCCTCTAGACCTCACAAGGTCCAGATCTATAGAATAACTCGAGAAATGGTTTGGATGCACCCAAAACCCCATCAAAATTGCGATACAAGCCCTAACTTCACAACCAAAGGAAATCTATTCAATCACAAGGAAGGCAAGAGCTTATATCAGATCTGAAGCTTGAAATGAAGATGAAATTGATCCACAAACTCTCCTCCTTAATCCTTGTAGCATCCTTGATCTTGTTCTCAAGGAAATGACATCAAATTAGCGTTTTTCCCTTTCTTGCTCACAAATGACTCTACGGTTTCTCTCAAGGGATGAATGGCACTGATGGGGGTGTCAAGGAGGCTATAAGTGCCTTTAAATAATCCAAACCCCAAGAAAATTAGGGTTTCTGCCTCCAATGCTGACTTGTCGAGTAGGCTCCTCGACTCGTCGAGTACACTCATTAATCCTAGTCATTACTTGCAACCCTACTCAACGAGCTGAGGTACCAACTCATCAAGTCCTTCCAAAATTCTCAACTTAAACAATTAAAATAATATACCTGGAAAAACTGGATGTTACATTTCCGTGTTATTATTATGTGCTATTATGGTAGCAAAGCTCTACCTTTGACCATGTGATCAGTGGAAGGACTTAGATTCACAGTGGTATTGGTATGTACCCTATAGTCGTGTAGAGCATGTCTCGCAAGAGAATGAATTTTACCCCTATGGCATTGGCAGAAGGTTAGATAGGGCTAAAAGCCTGAAATCTACCAATTTTTTTTTCAGAAAGTGTATGTCTTCTGTGCCATTTGGGCCGAAACTTTATTGATGTGTATCAAGTATTGAAATTGCTATGTCTCATTGATTATATATTGTTGAATCAAATCATTGATTGATATGGAAAGCTTGTCACATTATTCACATATGCCTTTGTTATTCCTTGTTCCTCTTTGCTTTTTTCATATTGAAGTATATATATGGCATAACGTTATATTGTATCTATTATTGAACTCACTAAGCGTCACTGCTTACCCGTCTCATTGTTTAACAATTACAGGTAATTGATGGGTTTTAGCCATAAGAAATTTCCTATGTGCACATGCAAACCCTAATGCTTGGATCTAGGTTTCTCTAACTGAACATGCAATGTATCCAAGGCTTACAATTCTAGATCTAGTGTAAACAATTGAATCATATCATATGAAATCAGATCTAAAAGAATACCTTGAGATTCTTGCTTGAAACGTCTTGTTCTTGGAGCTTAGAGTCACAATTGTCATTCCTCTAATGGCTTACAAAGACCAACTAGCAAGAGGATGATCTTGAGAGAGAGGGGAGGTGAGAAATCGGCTCTAGGGTTCTTCCTTACAAGAGTATATCTGATTTCCCTCACCCAAGGGGTCTATTTATACTATGAGATACTAGGGTTACACTCTTAACCCTAATTGAATAACTTAGGCCCTAAGCAGTCCAAAGATCCTCCTAGATATGAGGCTTGGACGATTTTAACGTATCCTAACCCTAAAATCTGTCCAGCCTAATGTCCATAAGGATACATAGCCCAAAATACAACTATCACACATTTGACAGTTTATGCCCCTTTATTTAATTAACCTCTTTAAGTCACCAAATTAATTCTCAATTAATATATGACTTATATCAATCAAATAACATTATTATTCCTTTAATATATTACTCTCATAAAATATTAACAATAATATCTCTTCTCTCTTTACAAATCATCCTTTCAAGTTGCTATGGTGAAGGCAACCCAAAAGGACCATGCACAACCGGGTCAAGTACTTACCAAATATAGTTACAGCCTTAGACACTAATCCAACAGTCTCCCACTTAGATAAGTCTAGTAATTATATATGCAAACATAATCTGATTAGCAATCGTAGCTCTCAAAGACGCTGTCAAACTCTGATCTTATCAGTATCCTGTCCTTTAGATAAGGGATCGTACAGTCCTCTGTTTAGATATTGTGCGGACAATCTCATGGAACTTATTGTCCAACAATTGGTTTCTCGATCTCAGATTCATTTGACATAGAACTTAATTGAACACATCAATTCAGTCCTGACCGGGCCCGGCACATAAGTCAAATCAAATCATCGAGGGGCCCTAATATCGCTTTTACCCTCTTAGGATAAAAGTAACAGATAAACTTCGACTTATATGCATTTACTATTTACTAATCAACTATACACAATAATGCGTTTTGATGACATCAATTTACGGATGCGGTTTCATATTGTCAATGCACAACCAATTAATAAACAATAAACCATCACTACTAGAAAACAGACCTTTAACGACGCGCAATTTATGACAAGCTGTGATTTATAATACGCAAAAGCATGTGACCTAAAAATAATGTCAGCTCTCTAGAAATTTTAAGAATTTAAGACGCGTATTTTGGCGTGCTGTAAAACTAGTGTTAGAAAAAAAAAAACGGAGGGCACTTATTATTAAATGTGCGCGTCATCTAAACATGTCGCTTTATAATTTTTAATGAAACATGCTCTTTAGTTACAAGCGGGAAAAAGAAAAACCCCAAAATTAGAAAAACCCGTTTTCGCTTCCCTCTTTACCCTAATCGGCGATCCTTCTTTCCCATCCCTGGCTCCCCACATCGACCGCTAACTACTCCCCTCAAACTCTGACCACCACTTTGTGCTCTTTCCTGGTCGTCGACCCTCTTCCATTGTCAACCCTCCACCAACGTTGCATCTTTTTAATCGTCTTCCTCAGCCATCGGCCTTCTTCAGTGCCTTCATATGCAGATTCTACGCACCACTCCTCCCACACGCTCACTTTGTAATCGACGACTTGATTAGCGTCTCCTTACCTTGCTCTCTCTCACCTCACCTCATTGGCAACCGCAGGCTCACCTCTAATCGCCGACCATTGAGACACATCAGCACCGGCGACTGTTTCCCGAATCTGCTTCCCCTCTACATTACTCCACCTACTACAACTACTCATGAGCTTCTCTTCTACCTTGTTTCCATTAGTTCTCTCACATATCCCCTCGTTCATCTCCGCCCCTCACCGATCACCACCGTCTCCGCCCCTCACCGCCTCTTCTTGCCTCATATCCCACACCTAACAACTTTGATTTGAAGAAATTTAAGGAAGTAGAAGTTGTTCAAGAATAAATTGCAGATGAAACCCTAATAGCATTATGTGACAACGCAAGAAGATGATGGCGTTGGAAAGCAAGCGTTCTTGGTTGTTTCCTTCTCATGCTCTGTACTTTTTTCCAGGAATTTTAATCCTTTCTGTAAACCCGATCTGCAATTAGTTGTTGATACGAGTTTCTAAAAATTATAGGAAAGAGGAATCAAAAGTTCAAAAACATGTTTGTAGTTACAGAACCCACATGCCTCTGTAAAACTTAGAATTCTATCAGAAAATCAAATATATTCAACATAGCCAAATTAAATTTATTGGAATAGCTAAATCCCATACTTACATGTTCTTACAGTGTTTTCTTCTTCTTCTTCTATGTAGCAATGATTGCAAAGGTAGCAATTGTTGTGGTCGGTGGTTTTCTGGGATGGATTTATACACGAATCAAACCACCACCTCCTAGCGTTTGTGGATCACCTGGTGGACCTCCTATTACTTCACCTCGAATCCAACTTAATGATGGAAGACATTTACCTTACAGAGAGTGGGGTGTCCCCAAAGATAAATCCAACTACAAGATCATTGTCATAAGCTATTGCCCTCCAACTGAAACGGATCTATCATCTGGCAAAAAATTGATAATGAGATGCTTTATATTTTTATCTTCTTCATAAAAGTCAACAAAAACTATTATATTCTATATATCTACATAAATGTGAAATGGAAATATGGAATATTGATTTTTATATTGTAGGTGGTTGTTGTCTACAATTCCCGAGGGTGGAAGAGATCTGATGTTATAGGACTTCCAGTGAGTATCATTTTAGGTTTTGAACTTTTGGTTGCATCTTAATCACTTTTTTTGGGAGAATAATAACAATAATAATATATTATGCGTATTATATGTGAATATCTAATAGGTTGTGAGCAAGAATATTGCTGTCCATGACTCCAATGGAAAAGAAGTAGAGTATCAACTTCTCCCCATAGTAAATGATGCTATTGCCCTTGGAAACTACTACACCACTGCATATACATGCAAATCACCAAGATCAATTTCCAAGTGTTAACTTGCATTTACAGCATCTGTTCCACCTCTGGGATTTACCACATACGTCGTTTGAAGCACAAAAAAGCCAGGTAAAAATAAAATTAACAATATTTTACATAATATACATTGATTTTCGAATTTTGAACAGAATTTATCTAGTGATATAATTTTTTTTTTTTTTTGCAGCATGGAATTCTTTAAATGAAGCATTTTACAAGCATACTAAAACAGGAAAAGATGGGATAGAAGTAGGAACAGGAAATTTGAAGTTAATCTATTCTGGAAGTGAAGGAAAGGTCTCTCAATATGTTAACAGTCGAAGCTCTGTAAGTATATTTACCTTTCATTTTTTTTTTTTGCATAATATAGCAACCAACTATCTTATTTTTGCTAATGACCTAATTGGAAAATAAAATAGTTTATCACCCACATTAGCAAAAATGAACCTATTTTTTGACGTTATATAAAATATAGTAAGTTAAATTATGTATTATTATTAGTATTGTTATTTATTCTTTTAATGTGCACTAACCTATGTTATTTTGGTTTATGAAAGATCATTGCCTCTGTGAAGCAATCATACAGCTTTTATGATGGATTTGATGGAACTACAGGAGAGCAGGTAACTTTATTTTCCTTATCTTATTTATAATTTTTCTTTTTTTATTTTGTAAATACTATTATTGGTACAAGTTTTTTATATTAACAATTGAGCTCCTAACTTCTTTAATTTAGGCATCTGGAGCATATATTTTCCGTCCAAATGGTACATATTCTATTGATACACAGGAGCATGTATATATTATATAATTTCTTCTGATATATCTATGTGTCTTATAGTTTATACTTTATAGCCAGATTTAGATTTTAATATTCTTCATTGAAATTACAGACTCCCATAAAGGTTTTGAATGGGCCAATAGATGATGAAGTACATCAGAAAATAAATCCATGGATTTACCAGGTAATGGATAAAGTAGTGCTATATGAACTCATTTTTTTCCTTGTTGGACTAATTGAACCGTCTGAAATGACCATTTTACCCTTTTGTCCAGATCGCTAGAGTGTTCAAGAATAAGGAGCATGCTGAAGTGGAATTTACAGTAAGTTCATTTTTCTTTACTTGTCTAATTGTTGTTCATTACTGATAATCTCAACTTTTTCAGGTGGGCCCCATACCTGTTGATGATGGATTTGGGAAAGAAATTGTAACTCAGATCACAACCACCATGAAGAGCAATAAAACATTTTACATAGATTCTAATGGGAGAGATTTTCTTCAAAGGGTATTACTCCCATTAAACATCTAAGTAGGTATTTAAAGAAAATGTGATCAAAATTATATTTTTTTGTGGCAGATTCGAGACTATAGAGAGGATTGGGATCTTGAAGTGAATCAACCTATTGCTGGAAATTATTATCCTGTATGTTTTCTTTTTTCAATATCCATTATCAAGATAACTGTCATTTTGAATCAACATGCCCTTTGCTATTCATATTAAATGCTCCATTAATGGAAAAATTTTAAAGAAACGTTTCACAAACTTGTGTTATTTCTAAAGGTCAATCTTGGAATTTACCTAAAAGACGAAACTAGTGAGCTCTCGCTTTTAGTAGATAGATCCGTAGGTGGATCCAGCATTGTTCATGGGCAATTGGAGTTAATGCTTCATAGGTATGTCTGATGAGATTAAACAATCTTTTAATCTATAAAGATCTATTAGATCTTGAACAAGTAAGTAAACAAAGACAATATAAACACAATAATAAGAACAAGACAAGATGGAATCAAATGTGTCGAATGATTAAACAAAATCCTCAGAAGAGCTCGATTAAAAGCATCAACTGTAGAGGATTGGAAGGTTACAAGAACGATTAAAGAAACCTGTTGTTGTCTAGATGTTTCTCTATTCTCAGATCTCTAAAACCTTAACCTAATATGCATGCAAGCGTAAACATATATACAAGACATAAAAGGTTCACGGTTGGACAGGCAAACCGGTACACAAAAAGCCTTAGGCTAAGCGAGCCCAAAAGACGCAATCAACAAAAATGATCTTCAGCCCAACAATCTCCCCCTTTGCGTCAATTTGGAGCGAGACCTTCACTAATTACTTGGGCCAGTAGCTGAAACCGGTACCTTCTTCACGGTACTAAACAGACATTTGGTGATTGAAAGAATGGTCTGTCTAAACCGGATGTACCAGTTAATCATATCTTCAAAATACTTGACATCATCGGCCGAGTTCTCTTTACACCGTTTGACAATGAACAGCACATGCTCCAAACAGGTTGTGGTGTAAAGATGCTTGTCAGCTAAAGCGAAGAGACATTTCTGTCCTTCCGCTCGAGTGAACATAACCGTGTTGCGTCTCGGGTCGATCCTGCCCAGTAGCATTTGATTGAGATCACTGGCCGATCCCACAGGAGCAATTTTGGGTTTCTTCTTGAAGACTGTGGCGACCTCCTGATCCATTAGGGCAACCTCCATGATGTAGCAGATTAACATCCTTTTGACATGGTCTAGAATGGGACCATATTCAGCTTCATTAGTCAAAAGGATATTATACAGGACGATCCAATCATGAGGATTTAGATTCGGTAGATCTGCCAGGGAGATAAGATGAGCAGTTCTTGCAGATCCCCGAATCAATTTGAACCGAACGTTTATAAAACGTCCCTCAGTATAAGGTTTTAGCACCCGAACGTTTACAATCTTCTGGGCGCTCCATGTAAGGAATTGTGGACGAGCAGCCGCCAGATAGAAGTCAATGAGCTCCCTGTCAAGCTCAGCGTTCGGGTGAGGGACTTCAAAGATGTTAGAGAAGACGTGGAAGATGAACGCCTTTCGAGTCAGCGGCATATCGAACTGCGAATCGACAGTGTTGTTGCAGTCGAACGATATAACCGGCTCGAGCCATAAGATGCTGGGAGTTTCAATGGCCTCTTTGATTAAGCGTTCCCTGGTCCAGGCAGGGAAGAGAGTCTTTCGGCTCTCAAGGAGATCGTGGGCTTCTTTTTGTTTGCGTTCGGCTTCGGCAGCCTCACGCGCCACACGACTGGCATCTTCACCAACCTTGCGACTGTTCTTTCGTTTTAAAATGTCAGCAATGGTCTCCTTGTCGCCTTCTTCATCTTCGTCCTCAGCTATGTTTTTGCCTTTGTTCTTCACACCCGAACCTAAAGTTTGATCAGTTGGAGATGGTTCGGTCGTGTGAGTAGCTTTGGAGGAAGGAGGTGGTTTTGATCCTGTCTTCTCATCTCCCCCTTGTTTCGGAATGGACACAAAACTTGGGAGGCCTTCTACTTTGTTAAGAAGATCGATGGCTGGAGAGAGCTTTTCAGCAAGGGAACGCCTCACCGAAAAGTTTAAGATTGGATCGTGTGCTTCCAGAATGTTGGATATAACAGCGTGGACATCCGAAACACACGTCTTGACCACCTCCCGTTCAGATCGAAGATCTTCCGTTGTTGTTGGGATTGAGAGAGTTGTGTGGTCTTGACCTCAAGTGCAGTTGTTTTGATTGCCAGATCGTCCATTAACGAACGCTCGGTTGCCAGATCTTCTTGTAGCTTGGCGAGGCGAGCATCAATGGAGGCAGTAAAGGCCGAGTTGTCGTCGCTTATGGTTTGGCGTAGAGTTGTGAACGAAGGAAACTCCGATGAGACAAAATTGACCAATTGTTGGACAATTGGTTCCAAAGATGCCTTTGTGGCATCTGCACTTTCCTGCAGGACTGCAGCAGGGTAGAGGCATCAGAAAATAGTTTATCGACTTTTTCGGTCGCTGCCTCACATGCCCTGGTAGATGCCTGAATTGCAGCAGCTGCTGAGGCCGCTGAATCATGTTGAGCCCTGGAGAAGGCATCAACAATCTTCTGAAGGACAGCTTCAGACAAAGTGGACTGATGGTTAGACGAGGAGGCGAGAAGTAGGTCAATCTTCTCGTTGAGCTCTTTGAGATGTTTCTTGGTTATTGGAGCATCGTCCTCCTCGTCACTTTGAACTTGAAACGGACTATAGTAGACCGAATCAAAGATCATGTTTTCTCCCCCAAGATAAGGGTTTTCACCCTCAGATGCATTTTCAGGAGATAAAGGGGGGAAGAGGTTGGGGGTGTGGTGGTTTTGGTAGGTGGTTCGCTTGAGGTAGCGTAGGATGTTCTTCACTACAAGCATGTGAGGTTCGCGTGGGTTTGCCTGAAATCGAGCACAGTAACAAACGGAGAACATGATATCAGGTCGGCTAGCAGTTAGATACATTAATGAGCCAATCATTTGACGATAGAGCGTGATATCGACAGCCGGTTTGTCTAGGGATGGGGTAAGCTTGGTGCCGAATTCCATTGGGACTTTGACTTTTGAGTCTCCCATCATACCAAACTTTGCTAGAAGAGTCCTCGTGTAAGCTTCCTGATTAATGAAGATGCCTTCAGGTCCCTGTCTTATGTTTAAACCAAGGAAAAATTTAATTGGACCCATTTAGCTCATTTCAAACTTAGTCTCCATCAGCTTTCTGAATTCAGCTGTTAAGCTGGGATTCGTGGAGCCAAAGATGATATCATCGACATAAATTTGAACTATCATAAGGTGATTACCTTCCTTTTTGCGAAAGAAGGTTGGGTCAACCGAGCCTTGTTTGAATTTAGACATCTTTAAAAAATTTGTAAGCGTTTCATACCAGGCCCTCGGAGCTTGCTTGAGGCCATACACAGCTTTATCCAGAATATAGCAATGATTTGGATGCTTTTCGTTCACAAACCCAGGAGGTTGCTCCATGTATACAGTTTCTTCGAGTTCTCCATTGAGAAATGCACACTTGACGTCCATTTGGAAAACCTCAAAGTTCTTGTGAGCAGCATAAGCCAGAAATATTCTAACAGATTCTATCCTAGCTACTGGAGCGAAAGTCTCTTCATAGTCTATCCCTTCCTCCTGACAGTATCCCTTTACCACCAGACGAGCCTTGTTCCGTATAACATTACCTTCCTTGTCCATTTTGTTCCTAAATACCCATTTGAGACCAACAACCGAAGCATCAGGAGGAGTTGGAATTAGGCGCCAGACTTTGTTCCTTTCAAATTCGTTCAGCTCGTCTTGCATTGCTTGAACCCAATCAGAGTGATCGAGGGCAGTATTAACTGTCTTTGGTTCAACTTTTGATACGAAGGAGTTGAACATGCAAAACTCAACCTTTGAAAATAAGGAAGTTTGTTTTGCCTTCAGTTGTGATCGGGTCAAAACCTTTTCAGAGACATCTCCAAATACTTGAAAGACAGGATGATCTCTGGTCCATTTGATAAGAGGAGGGTAATTTGGATCAAAGGTTGGGTCTAGTTCAGCATTAATTATTTCGTCTAGCTCAGATTGGCTATCGTAACCGAGTGTCATATCATTATGGCCCCCTTCAGTTGATGAGCTTTGGAAGACATGAGGTTCAGGTTGTTCTTGTGGTTCTGAGCTTCCTGGTGTTGAGGCCTCTTCGGTTGAAGTTGTAGAATTTGGCTTCCCCTGGACTTGAGCGCTTGGCTCCCCCTCGACTTGAGCGTTGTTGGAAGGAGAGTCGTTAGAGGTTGATGTTTCTTCATGCATTCTTCTTGCAGCATCTTCGACAATCTGCTTCGTGTGATCAACTTTGTTGTCTGCTGCACCTGCTTCAGAGAGTGAAGCATTCTCCGGTTCGTCAAAGAGATCCATGAATGTCTCGAATAAGTTGGCGACCGAGACTGTAACCTGGCCATTTAGAGGAAAGATTTCCCCAGTGATATCTTCTTTAGCCTGTAGCTTCTTGACATAGTTGTCGTCAAAGGTCACATAGTATGTCTCTTCAATCTTTCTCGAACGCTTGTTTAGGACCCTGTATGCCTTGGATGTGAGCGAGTAACCCAGAAATATTCCTTCGTCGGCTTTGACATCAAACTTGTTGCATTGTTCATTAGAATTAAAGATGAAACACCTTGAGCCGAACACATGGAAAAATTTCACATTTGGCTTTCTGTTGTTTAGTATCTCATATGGAGTGAGCGTGAACCTCTTGTTGAGATATGACCTGTTCTGTGTAAAACAAGCAGCCGAAATAGCGTCAGCCCAAAAATAAAGAGGTAAGGAAGCGAAACTTAGCATAGTTCGGGCAGCTTCACACAAAGATCGGTTTCGTCTTTCGACTATTCCGTTCTGTTGCGGTGTGTAGGGAGCTGAGAAATTGTGACTAATTCCCTTTTCTGCAAGAAACTCTTCAAACTCCCTGTTCTTGAATTCGAGACCATTGTCGCTTCTGATGTTGCGAACAACCTTCTTGAGCTGTACTTCAATTTGCTTGATAAACACTTTCAGCTTTTGAGTCGCTTCAGATTTGAGCTTTAGAAAGAACACCCATGTAAATCGTGAAAAGTCATCAACGATAACAAGAATATACTTGCTACCACCGATGCTTTCGATAGATGAAGGACCACACAAATCAATATGAAGTAATTCGAGTGGTTCAACAACTTTTGTGTTGATTATAGATGGATGACTTTGACGACTCTGCTTCCCCATTTCGCATGCAGCGCACAGATGATCCCTGTCGTACTTGAGCAATGGAAGGCCCCTAACATGACCTCCAGTAACAAGACGGTTGATATCTTTAAAATTAAGATGAGATAATCTTCGGTGCCACAACCAGCTTTCGTCAGATTGAGCTTTTG